TGCACCCGCTTTGTCTTCAGTGACCGTGTCGGGAAGGTGAGCATTATGGAATGCCAGGTTAATAGAACAAAGTGTTCTGGCATTGAGGGAGTACTTGAGTAGAGGCCCAATGCAGGACACATTTTTAAGAAAACTCTAGTTCCAATATTTTGCTGAATAAGAACCACACAGCTACCCCTCCCCAAACCTCTCTCTGGGAAGGTGTTACAACAAAGCAGTGACTGTCATCTCTGACATCCAACCAGAGCTCAGTTTGAGTTCCTTGTGTGAGTTGTCTATCTTTTTTAGCTTTAATTACTTCTACTATAAAACAGTTAATAAACTCTCTTCTAATAAGGGTTGTTGTCATGCTTCAACAAAGAAAGGTTTGTTAAATAGTGTCTGGCACATAAAAACTGTTCAATAAAAGGTATGAAGGCCATCTGGAACTCTAATCACAGGTGAGTGGTGGAACCCGGCAGCTGCTCAGAGGGAGAACGATGAGGATTTGTGATTTATTGTTCTTGTCATTAGGCGCCATTGAGTCAGTTGTGACTCACAGTAACGCTATGTACAGCAGAAGGAAACTGTCCAGCCCTGCGCCATTCTCACGATGCAGCCACAGTGTCAGTGCATCTCCTTGAGGATCTTTCTCTCTCAATGACCAAGCATGATGTCCCTTTCCAGGCCTGCCCCCTCCTGGTGACATGTACTTTGTCCAAGGCAGGCTACTTTCCATATTGTTTGTAAAGAGGTACACTCTTGCAAACCCAAAGGAACAGCTGTATCTACTCTGTCCTGTAGGCTTGCTGTGAGTCGGAGTTGACTGGAAGGGAGTAAGCATTGTTATTAGTAAGGAGCCTGGTGGTGTATTACAATGTGGCAGTCTGCTCCCAGAAAGATCTACAGCCTTGAAAATCCTATGCTTCTACTCCGTCTTAAGGGGTTGCTGTGAGTCAAAATTGATTCGATGGCAATGGGTTGGCAGGGAAGCTGGTAGATCACGTGCCTGCTAACCAAAAGGTTGGTGGTCCGAACCCACCAGCCACTCCATGGGAGAAAGATATGGCAGTTAGCTTCTGTAAATATTGACAGCCTTGAGACCCTGTGGGGCAGTTCAACCCTGTCCTCCAGGGTGACTATGCGTAGGAATTGATTTGACGGCAGTGGGTTTGGTTATTGCCATTGTCAACTGCCACCTTTAATGCCAGGTTCTTATAAACAAGGAGCCCTGGTGTGGTGTGTAGTGGGTTTGCAATGGGCTCCTAAGTGCAAGGTCATTATTTCAAAACCACAAGCCACTCTTTGGAAGAAAGACAGGCCTTTCTATTGCTGTAAAGCAGGGGTTCTCAACCTGTGGGCCGAGACCCCTTTGGGGGTCAAATGACCTTTTCACAGAGGTCGTCTGATTCATAATAGTCACAAAATCAGTTATGAAGTAGCAACAAAAATAATGTTATGGTTGGGGGGTCACCACCACATGAGGAGCTGTATTAAAGGGTCGCGGGGTTAGGAAGGTTGAGACCCACTGCTGTAAAGAGTTCCAAGCTTGGAAACCTACAGGGACAGTTGTACCCTGTCCTCTTGGGTTGAGCCAATGACTGGGTTTTTTGTTTTTTAAGTTCTCTTATACCAACTGCTGAAGTCACTGCTTGTGTTATATCAGTGGTAGGTATTCTAATGCCTTCATAAATTCTTTTTGGCTTTGATATGAAAACCACAGAGGAAGTCTAATGTATCAAATTCACCATGTGCAAAATCAGCGATCACCTCTCCATCTCCCCTCTGCCAATTTTCTCTTCTCCTAATTCTCATAATAGTTGTTTCATCTTCCCAATTATTTTGCACATGGGACGTGTGGAATTCCACTTAAGTGGAATTACCTCTTCAAAGGCATAAAACACATTATGCCACTCATTTATTTGAAACCCTTAAGTGACTTCCCATTTGATTGAAAATAAAATTCAAATTCCAAAGCCCTATGTTATCTCAGCCCTGTCTACCTCCACTGTCCTCCCTCATTCCTGCTGCCTCAAGTTCTTCTGAGCACAGGGCATTCTTCTAAGCCTAAGCGTCCTTCTAGGTCCTTGGCCTTGAGAGTTCCCTCTGATGAGGTTGAAAGCATGGGGCTCTTTTCACCCCTCAGCTTTATCC